GCGTAGTAATGCTCAGTTTGGTTGCTGCGGCTTTTGCGGCCAGGCAAATAAATTTACACATGTAAACATTTGTATTTAAATCTATTTACACTTATATGTCTATTCCTTGAAATATATATATTTGTGTTATTTTAAGCGTGCTTCTTTAGCTGCAGCTTTTATTCAAGTTTCGAGCATTCGGTTAACCGCAAAATTTGTGTGTTTGTGTCTGTGAGTTGCTTACAGAAACTGCATTCATTTGAAAATAACATAATTAAATATTATAATTCGTATATTATTTTATAGCTGACTTCGCTTTATCAACTCCGCTCTAAGACAATAAATATAAATACTATTATTTAATGAAATTTGTTCACCAAGTGATAATATATAATACAAAGAATTCGATGGTTAGATTTAGATATACTCGCTGCCAAACAACAAACAATTCAAGAAATTTAGCTGGATTAAAGCTTTCCATCACATAGCTTATATAAAAAATATTGCTTAAAAAGTAGAAAACAATCTCATCATCATCGCACAGCTAATTACAATCAATTTACAAGTCAATTTAAAAAACTAATTATTTATGTAAAACGAAAACAGGCAACATGTTACTAATTGCAAAAAGTCATTTATTTACGCGTGCCGCTCTTTGAGTTTATTAAAAATGTAAAATCAAATGAAATGATTGCAGAAAATTTCTTTAACTTAACGTTACGGCAGCGTAGCTCTTATAATTTGAACAGCATTCACATTCAGAGACTCGCATGTTTGCCACACGGAGATGGACGTCCAGGCCCCAAACACTGGCAACGAAATTAATGTTCTGAAACAGACAAACCATTTAACCCAACAAAACGCTGGGGTTTCCTAGTACACAAACAAACCGCAAGCTGCACTCATCACTTGCAGCTAACAACGTCGCCAATTCGCCAGCTAGAACAGCACAGTTCTCTCTCTATCTCTCTCTCTCTATTTTACTCCCTCTCCCTCTGTCGCTAGAACTTACCGCAGTTAATTTGTTGTACAAACCCGCACACAAATAAAGCAGTCAGCACACAAAACAGCTGCAGAAATCGTTTGCTTTGAGCCAACATGCAACTCTTTATCCCAGCCACTGGGTCTGGGACTGTTTTCAAATTTACAGCACGTCAACAGGCAGCACAGAGGCAACTGCACAACCAAACCCAATGCCTAGCCCTTCTCATTCATTACAACATACATACAGCATCCAGTTAGATTCTACCACATCACATTAACCATATACTTCAAAAGTGGATATGAGTTGGCTTTTCGTTTCGACCATATGTGCACTTATTGCGCATACGCCCTGTTGCTGCTGCTAGAAAAACGTCCTGAGGCCCTATTTTGCTGTAATAAAACCTTCTCACTCAATTGCAAAATACTTTGCGTTTTTTTTTCTAAACGACAGCTCGATATATATAATATATATCTGGCGATATAAACAATAAATATAAAATAAAATTATGTTATAATAAAATACCTTCAATTTAAGTTAATTTATTCATTAAAACGAAAACACTTTTTTTCTGTCTTGCTTAAATTGATGTAGAAAACTATCAATAACAAATAGTTTTGATTTCTTTTGCAATTTCAATACTATTCACTTGAACCGGGTGTCGACGTGAAAGACGCACTTGGTCTAGACGAAGGTCATCAGAGCAAAGTCGCAATTTGTAACAGACAGGACTTGCTGACCAAATTGCCAAGGGACTATGGACTGCATAAAATATCGAAGGTTGTCGAAGTTGATCAATCTGTAACACGCTTGAGAAGTCTGGATATTCCAAACGCTGCTGAGAGTAAAGTCATTAGTTACGGGGTCTGGCGGAGTCTTCAGCTTTTAAACATTTTTATACCCTTGCAGAGGGTATTATAATTTTGTCGTGAAATGTGTAACGCATAGAAGGAGACATCTCCGACCCCATAAAGTATATATATTCTTGATCAGCATCAACAGCCGAGTCGATAGAGCCATGTCCGTCTGTCCGTCTGTCTGTTTCTATGCGAACTAGTCTCTCAGTTTTAAAGCTATCTTAATGAAATTTTGCAGTCCGTCTTTCTGTTGCACGCAGCACATATGTGAAAAGCAGCTGGATCGGACCACTATATCATATAGCTGCCATAGGAACGATCGGTCGAAAATTAAGTTTTTGTATGAAAAAACATTTTCTTTATCAAGATATCTTGCCCAAGCTCGGCATTAACTATTTTCCCTGTGCTTCTTAGATACGGGCAAAGCAGTATAAGCATTATGAAAAGGTTGGGTCTGCAAGGATATTAGATCCTCGGCGTGCCGAAGATAGCCTTTCTTTCTCGTTATTATTATTATTTTTATTATTCTTACTATTTATTTTATTATTCTTGTTATTGTTAGTTTTGTTTTAATTATTATTATTATTAAATGACATATATAAATATTTTTCTTTTTAATAGCACTGACCTACGGCTAAGATAATAGCACATCCAACACAGCCTGAGGTTTGAGATTGAATTTATTAAATGGAATTTATCCATCTTTCCTAGTAAATGCAAATATTTTGTCCGTTTTGTATAAAACCATCTCACACTCATTGAATTCAGATTTTATGCAAGCACTCGATTCTATCAAATTTTTAAGTGTCTTCGAGCGGTGCTTAAGAGGGAAATGCTGTGTTCCGAATGCAAAATGCGAAATACGAAACGCTGTTGCATCCAGAGCAACTCACGTACTTCAAAAATGTCACCACCGCCCCCATTAAACTATAGCCATAAAATCAGAGCAGAGCGAAGCTGCAAAATCTACAGAATGAAAACTTGCCCAGCCTGGCACATGGCAAACACGTTTCGCATTGAATGTTGGTGGAATTGTTGCCCCGTTATCATTTGTTCGCCTCTGTTTTTTTTTATGGTCAACTTTGATACCATTCTCAACGTACAAATACATATGTGTATATATACCGCATACATATTTCATGTGCGGCTTTTATTGTGTACGAGAGAACTTAAAATTTCGCATTTTACTTGTCAATTTAAACGCTCAAGTGTTTATTGCATTGAGGCTGCAGACACACAGACATTTACCGAGATGGAAAACACTTAAGCACTGCATAGCTTACTTAACAAGAGCTTCTTTATATATATTTATATATATGTATGTATTGGGCAATCGACTCAACTGCCCCAGACCAGGTCCTGGCGGCTCCTTTCGACCAAACATTTGCGGCTATTTGCGTGCTCATTGTTAATTTGATTGCCAACTCGCGATAGGGACAAACACCTCGACTGCTGCTGGGGCCGTACCTGTGCGCATAATTGAACAATAAATTAAATAAAGGTACCTGCTTGGGGGCAGCCCATGTAGAGGGAAAAAAATAAACTGAAATGCACTCAACCAGCGGCCATTTCGGCATTTCGATTTGCGGGCCAATTGAACTGTTCGCACTGATTTCTCTAGGGCTCGCATCAATAATGCACGCCTCAATGCGTTACGCCTACCACAGGCAGCAAATAGTTGTCGAAAAACTCTATATACATATATATACTGCAGTTCTAATAGTTGACTTCATCGTTCTATTCAAATTTGATACAGATTATATTTTTGTTTCACCTACATTGATGACAGCTAACCAAGAGCTGACAATTAAAGCTAGTATTAATGTTTATTATTATTTCATTTAATTTTTATTAGCATTATTATGACTTGATTTAGTTAATAAATGTGTTCATTTGTTAAATAAGGCTTTAATGTATGCTGTCGACAGCTGCCCATTCATTATGCAAGCTAGTATATTCATCAAATATTTATTTGCCAAATACGCCAACCAAATATTCCAGCATATTAAATTAGGCCTAAACATAGAAAAAAACAAAAAAGAGTTGTACAAAAGCTACAGAAATAACGAGTCGCGAGTCGAGCTATGTATTGCACAATTTTAGCTAGTTGCGCTAGGCATATTGTAAAAAATTAAATTGTTTTAACTACATTTATTAAACACAATAAGGTATGGGACTCAATTCGCAAGAAACATGTCAACAGATATGTCAAAATAGTAAAGCTCGTTAATGCTGCCTTTGATGAAAATATCTTGAAAAACAGAATACTTTTCGATAAATAAAGCTATTTTATGACTAACTTCTCTAATGTCAGGAGCTGGTCCAATGTTGATAAGATTATGGAGCATAGTGAGCCGAAAAAGTTGTTCACACAAGAACCTGCTTTTCGAGCGATCCTTCTTATGGCTGCTGATATACAGATATGGTCATATGATATAGTGGTCCGATACTGCCGGATCTGACATGTGTAATGCTTGCAACAGAAAGACGGACCTATGAAAGCTTTCAAGACGAAAGCTTAAAACAGAAGGACAAACCTTGCTGGCTGTATCAACTCGCCTGCTGATGCTAATCTATTATATATATTTATTATGGAATATATTTGCAGACTTTAACCAGCAAATCGATTAAGCGACTTCTCGTTTGTTATTCCGACGCTGAGACACGTAAGTACATATGTATGGCTGCAATGTTGTTGATGCTTTTCATACCAATTTTGACCAGCAATTTCCCCATAAGCAAGAAATCTGTACAAATGTTAACTTCCTATCCCTCCAATCAATTCCCGTCCCTCAACATTTGGGCTGTGCATTGTTCACCAGTCTGTCAGTCAGGCCACATTTTTGGACAACTTTAGAAAATAGATTAAAACAAATGCCGATTGATTTTGTGGTAATTTGTTATCCTGTTGAAATGCTACAAAATAAATACCCATATATTTACACGGGATATTAATTTGAACATAAAATTGATGGCCAATAGAACGAAGCTTAAATCAGATTTAATTTAATTAGAGCTAATATTTCAGGTCTTATAAACAGTCGACATATTCTATAATGCCTGTATGGAGGCAAACGTTGGCAAATTAACTTTGATGTTCGGACGCAGACCTTAAAACGATTTTACAGTCTGGCGCACCTTGTGTAGCATCTGATTGGAGTGTGAGACTCGGGCATTGGGTTTATTTTCAGTAGACTTTAAATTCGAAAACCAAATCTGAATATAGAAAACATTTCCGAATGACAAATCGAATGCAGTAGCGAAAAAATGAGCCAGCTATCCGTGAATTCTGTGAAGTCTGTGAAATCAAGTACGTAAAAGGGAATTAACCGAACAGAATGCCACTCATGTCCATTCCGGCCATAGCTTTCAACAAGTTGGACAATAACTCGGCCTATGTACAAATTGCTGTGAGCGCTGGCGGTGGCTTTGTGGCTGGATTCGTTTTCTTCCGAGTAAGCAAACTGCTGGCCATTTGCGTTGGCGGCGCAATTCTGACCATCGAACTGGCCGTCCAGTCTGGCATTGTCACCATCGACTGGAACAAAGTGTTGCGGCAACAGGAGCAGGCGCAAAATCGAGCGGCTTCGAGCGCCAATGCACGAGCACTGGCCCGCGGTCCATATTCACCCAACGAGCGTGCTCTTGATCCGGAATTGATTGATAAGGCTAAGCAATTGGTGTTGTCCAGCGCACGATTGTCTGTTGCCTTTTTGGGTGGTTTTTTGCTAGGCTTTGGATTTGCCTGAAGCTCTTCATTTCATATTTTCTTTATACAAATGTCCTTGCAACAAAGTCCTTAAAATATGTAATTGCAATGCGCTCGTCAAATAAGTAAAACTACAGCCAAATGTGCACTAACTAGCCCTTTATTTACTTTCTCTCCCCACCCCACTCTCTCGCTCTCTCTCTTGGTCTCTCGCTCTCTTTCTCTGTGACGTACTTTACACATATTAAAAGTTGCGCTGGCAAAAACTTGAAAGTTTTAACAACATTTTCATGCGCTTTTAAACATTTCAATTTGCAACCAACGTAGCCCACATAAATTTATGCATAAGCAAAGTTTTTGATATCCAAGGCTAGGCTGAGGCTAATGCAAGTCGTGTGCACAGTTGCAGTTCGTTGGGAGGGGGCAAGGGGGTGGCAGAGTGAAGGCAGGTTACTTTGTGTCGCATATGCTTACGAAATGTCACATTTATCGTCATCAACGCTGCGTCTAGGTATTAAAGTTTGGAAAACGTAAGATCTATATATATATATGTCATATATATAGTACGAATCAAGGGAAACAACTTTTAGAAAATTCAGTTAGCCTTTTTGTTATGTCTAAATGGCATCTGATATGTAAAATAAATAAATATACATTTAACAAATGTATATTTCGAATAAACAGAAAATACTTTAGGATAATACAGTGTGCCACAATGGAAACTGTAAGATTTGCATTTTCACATAATGAAAATAAATATTCTATTAAAGTAAAAACAAATCGGACTTACCTTTAAAATGATGAGCTTTCTTCACATCCGAAAAAAAAGAAGAAGGATTTTCGTAGTTTTTAGCACAAGACGATTTTTAAGTTGCATATTGTTGCATTATTAATATTATAATTATGAAAGAGCATAAATCTGAAATAAAGTAAACGCATTCTATTAATTGTCATATAATTCTAGCTGAATTTATATTATTTAGATATATTTAAATTCTTATATTCAAATTTGTTTGTTTCTTAATAATACACATTTATTAAACAGTTTTATTCTTAAGCTTTATTCAAAGCCTTATATTCTTTTGATTCAATATAAAGTGTATTCTCTATTAAAATCAAGCACTAACTTTTAAATCTCCGGCGATTTGTTGCTATTCAAACTCCGAACTTCTTTGAAAGCACAGTAACTTTTTATTTATTATTTAACTTTATATTTTTTGCATTTTTTACACTTTATGCACTTTTTTGCATTTTTGCTTAAATAGTTTTATTTTGTTCACTTTGCCGTCGCCGCCGGTCACCCCTGTGGTGAATGGTTTGGCTGGTTGGCTGGCTCTTCTCTGTATTTCCATTTTTTTTGCACCTTGTACCCATTGAAAATAGGTAAGAGAAAAAGGGTATAATCTATGTAACAGGCAGTAGATCTCATCTCCGAGCCCATCAAGCTTATACTTTCTTTATCTGCACAACCAGCTGAGCCGATCCGGACTTAAACTTTTGCCCAGTCTTTACTAAGCTAAAATATTGAGACTTAATATCATATTTTTTCAATCTGTTTTCCTCGGTATCTTTCCTTATTTTCATTATATTTTACTTCATATGCATAACATTATAATGTGTGGATTACATAACATTTCCCATTTCTTTTAAAACTTAAATAATCATATTTTATTTGTTTTGATAACATTTTAAAGATATTGTGTGGTTGAAAGTTCGGCAGAGGGCATGCCCTAGTCGAGCACACCCGTTTAGTTTACTTTTACTTGTTTTTACTGGTACCTTTTCTTTCATGTTTAATACAAAAGCGGCCACAGCAAATGAAGAGGCTGCGGAGACTGAAACAGAGCTTGAGGTTGAGGCTGGAGCAAGAGCTGGAGCTGGAGTTGAGGCCGAGTCCCGGCCAAAGGGCATTGTGCGATGCGATCCGATGCAATTCTCTGGGGATTCTTATAAGTATTTTAGCCCGAACTGCAGGCATGCATGAGAATTTAATGAGCAGCATTGAGGCTTTGAAATTGCAGTTGTAGTTGGAGTTATGTGCAGTTTAACTTTTAATCGAGTGATTGGCAGTGGGATGAACCCGCATATTATGTCTGTATGCAATTAAATGAGTTGCTCTGCCATTTACTAGGTACAACACACGCTGAAGGGGCAAAGGGCAAACAATTTATTAAATTACAAAATAATAATAATGCAACTGCAATGCAAGGCATGGCAGCGAATTGAAGTGCAAAGCGTTTTGGCAATTATTTTCATTTGGTATTTGCGGTTTTGGCCAAATTTAGTTTTGGTCAAACAGGCAAACATACACATATTACGCAATTGTTATAGCACATCGCACATGCCTCGAATTTAGAATTGGTTTTGTTTGGTTTACTTTGGCTCGGTTTGGTGGTGTTTGGATTCGGTTCGATTCGGTTTCATTTGCTTTGTTCGATAAGCAATTATGTTCATGTTTGGTTATTGAAATTTGATTTTGCACAACACAAACGAGCACTGTATATATATATATATATACGTATGTATATATATAGTTGTGTTTACATAAGATATTCGCATTAGTAGGTCTAACAAATTTGCGGTTAATTTTGAGCAATTATTAAGTGATCAATTTATGGGGAAAATAGCAAATATACTAAGAAAACAAAGTCTGAGCTGGTCTATTTATACACCACTTGTCAGAAGCCGCCAATTAGCAAGTCGCCTTCAATTGTCTGATTAAATTAATACATTTTACAATGGAAGCACACATTTAAAGCAAGTCCGCACTTTTCCATTCACTGAGCTAATCACAGACCAGAACTTCCGCTCGCCCGCTTTTTGTTGCACTCTCGAACAGGTTCAATTAATTTGCGCCAGACCGAAAGTTTTCGGCTCCGCATGCTAATTGGACTTATCTATTATTTGGCTGTGGGGCATTTGCATAATTAAACTGTCGAAATTCAATTGGCTTTAAAATTTTATTTGCATCGACCGCAAAAGAAAATATTTACGCTCAAGCAATTGCAGAGAGCAGAGCAACTCGTTACTCATACGACGTGTATGCCACAAATAATGCATTTCCTATGCTTGAACGTGTGCTCGGACTCAGTTTTTGAATGTAAATATGTTTTCACTTTGCAGGCGAACAGTCGTTATACACTTCAGTCTTTTTTTTTAATGGAGTGCACTCAAAGTGGTTGTAAATTTTAAAACTATTTAAATATTCTATTGTTGATAACGAAATCTGTTTGACACTTCTGAGAGTCTTGACTATTTGCACTTGAACGGAGGATTCATATTTTAAATAATCTACGAGCTATAGAATATAACAACATGCAGTTTGAGCCAGCTTCCTACCTTTGTTAGGTTCCTCAAGCAAAGTCCTTAATCCATGTCTTGGCTCAAAGCTGAGTTTATGTTATATTTTTAAATTTGTAAGGAAACAATTTAAGATGTTCTTAGCAACTGCGAGTCTTATTGAAAACTAAACAATTTTTTTAAAAATTATTTTACTTTTACTTCACAAATTGTACAAACATATATACTTTAATATTTGTATGCTTTAGTGCTGGGTCGCTCTCGAAAGTTTGAAGTTAAATATGTTTTGTTTCAGGCTAAGGTTCCGTTTCGTCAGAAAGAAGAAATTTCAGTTACCGGTTGGCTTCGGGGTAAATACTTTCATGAAGGGACTTTAATATATGTTGCATGTAAATATTCCTAGTTAGTATTTAATGCAATCACCCTTAAACGCACAGCCACAACTGTCAGGCAACTTTGTTATGGCAATTGGAAATTAATTTTTACAGCATGCTGCATATGTATAGAAACCGCGCAGCTAACCGTGGCAAAGATTGACAATAACAAATACCCAAAAATGATTGATAGTTGATGGCGAGCTTAAGTGACAGCTACTATGACAACTGCTGCGACTAGCTGGTGCGTCGAGGCGCATGAATTTGATGAACTTATTAAAATGCTGTATTCCATTTCGCAATGACGAGAACAAACACACAAGTTGCGAATGCTAAATTAAAGTATGTTTTAAAGTATTCGACTCTAAAGGGGTCTGACCAAATGTCTGGTTTAACTTTTGGCCGGGTACAGCGGATGTAATTTCCAGCTGAAGTTGCCAGGCACATGTTTGACTGTCTGAGGGCGTCCATAAATCTAACGGAGTGGGCGTTAACTGGGCCGCCATCCAGCCGACTATCTAACTATCTAACCATCTACATAGTTGCCCGTTTTTCCGGACTGTCTGTCTGGCATTACGTGCAAATAGTTACGTAAAATTATTTCCGGCATCGCTTACTAATATCATTCTGTTTGAGTTTCTTTTGGATAGACTTGCAAGGAAGTTACATTCAAGCTTTCAAGTTGAAGCCTCAAAGGCAAAGACTAAGGCTTACTTGCCTGCACCCAATGCCCTTTTCTTTCAGTTTTAGTGCTTACAAAAAGATTTGCAACAATTTAATGTATTTATTTATTAATTTTCATTCCTGGTTTAACGAGAAGACATTAATATAAATAAATTTAAAGCCAAATATCTGTTTCACTTACTTAAATAATTAAAGTAAACTGCTAAAGTGTTAAAATTTAACTACCACGCTTTCACAAAGCTCGTTAATATGCATATTAAATGTACAATACTGAAAAAATAATACATTGTGTATGCATATTCCTCTATGTTTGGAAGGCCTGACAGCTGAATTTTAATTGAGTAGCAATTGCATTTATATATATATGTCATATAAGCTATTTTCAATTAAATGTCATAAAAATTAGGGACAATAAAGAATAAAGAGTGTTCTTAGGTCGGAGTTGCTCTCACACAGTTCAAATAACCTCTGTATCAATTCACAAATCCGTGTGTAGTTCATTTACAACAAGTAAGTGGTTCTAGTCGGGAACTCCCGACTAGGGCATACCCAATATTCTTCCAACATCAAATGCATATATATATTCTATTTTAGAAGCTATATGTCAAGTTTGATGACTCTAGTTCTTATTATTTACCAAAATTGCCCAAAAAACATGATATCGATATCGATTTTTATCGATTGCTTGGAAACGGAGTGATCAAACATATACATATATATATACTTTATCGGATGAGATTTGGCCGAGATATGGGGGTGGTAAATTTTTACCCATAT